AGACACTCTAGTCAGATGAACTACAATTATCACATGATGATCATTAAATAAAGTGTCTAATCTGCATCTTGCATTTTTTGTTTTGATTTAATGCTAATACTAAAAATTTATACCTACTACCACATTTTCAGTTTTTCTTTGTTCCTTGACACTTTTTTTCTATCATAGTATATATAAAATGCTAAGTAAAGATGAAGTTCAAAAGTTGATTAATGATTTTTCTAACCTTAAAGTGAAGATGCTCAGTGAAATTTCTTTAATTAACTTTTTGAACTTTTGCAAATTTAAACTTGCCAATAAAGGAAGGCAATTAGTATACAAAGATAAACCTTTAATGCATCAGATTTACAGCAATAAGTTGAAAGAAACAATATCAGGTAATTTAAAAATAATGTGAAAAAAAAAGTTTATGAATATACAACTAAAAGAGGCTTTAGAAATATTTCAGGTATAGTCACTTAAGTTTAGCTTCTATGCTAGAAATAGTATAATATCTATAATTTTTTTGTATTAGCTAGTTATTTGCAATTCAGCTTTATAAACTTCTGTAATTCTACAATACAATAAGAAACAGGATAATTTTCAATATAATTGTCACTACGTAACTCAACCTAAAAAAAACCAGTTTGTTAGATGATCAATATTTAGTTGTTTGCAATATATCATCTAATATCTTGTGTATTCTAAGCAGATTTTTGTAATAATTTTTGATAAAAACTAGTTGTTTTATGTCAAGGAGAATTTGGGTGTTTGCAATATATCATCCGATATTTTTTAATATAATTTCTATGATTTGCATGATAAGTTGTTGTCTTTTAATTTAAAAGACAATATACTTTTATAATTTCACATTAGGTCATAGATTTTAATAAATTATGTAAAGGAATTTGCTGATTGCAATATATATGAGAGGTTTTTAATTGCAATACCTTAATTAAATTTTCGTTACCATATCTTTAATGTTTACGACTATCACGAATTTATAGAACCAAATCGAAAATGGTAACTACAAAATTTTTCAGTTTATGGTAGATATTACAAAACCACATACTGGTAAGATTTCAAGCACAACTCAGGTTACAAATTATCTTGAAGCTTAAAATACGATGATTTGAGTTTTTTTAACAGGAATTTTAATTTTAATCTAGAGCATTACAATACAGATGTCCTATCAAGTGTGCAGACTGCTATATATTCTTGCACTGATAGAGCACAACTAATAACTATCGTGAATTATCTGAAAAATATTTCAGAAGTTCAGATTAAAGAAATTCTTCTACGAGCAGAAATTAAAAAAAAGAAAAAATTATCGAATCATATATGAACTTTCCAGTAAGTTTTTAGGTTTATTGGTTTATTAATATTTTAAATTAATATTTATTCAAATTATAGGTGAATACCAAGCCACAATGGTTTTTCAAAAAGCTAAAAGACTTGATAAAATAAAGAAAAAGCTTCTAGAACTTCCTATAACTGACATATTTTATTGCTTTATAGTAAATTTCAACAGTGAAATTTGAAAGTCTATTTACCCAAAGAATGCCATTTTACATATCGAAAATTACTACTTATTTAAATTTTCAACGGAGCAATATGATGACATCAATAACGCTATGGATTTAGTATTTGAAAAATATAATTCAAACCTTGAACTTTCACCTCAAATAGAATTATATTTTGATTTAGATAGAACACATCAAAATTATTGCAAAGCCATTATGAAATCATGGCAAGTTTTACACTATTATATTATTGTTAATCTTGCTTTCAATCTCAATATTTTCTCTTCGATTCACAGGCTACTCGAATGGATCAACCTACCTGCTGTTAGCCTTGAATCACATTATGTTTATAAATATGTATATTATCCTCTTGATACAGTTTTAGATGGCCTGTTGCAACACTTTCATCTTTATGGGTAAGATAGTGACCACAAGTTGCCTGGAATTTATTATACAAAACTTTGCTTAAAATAATATTTAAATCAATACGGATATAATAAATGATTAGTCTCAAACATCCTGCAAAGTGTATTGCAGAACGCAAGAGTTGGTATCATCACCCGCCCTTTGGATTTTTACCTTCTACATTTAATCAAGCCTGGGAATATTTTAATGATGTTGAGGATAAAGAAAGAAATATTATTTCTGAAGAAATTATAATTAAAGGAAATGATACAACTTGTCTTTAGCCAAGTAGAAATTTTGAACCTTATTATGATGATGTACAGACTGGGATTACATATATTCAGGTTTATCTTCAGAAAGTTGATGCTGCAATCACTTATACGTACGAAGGACACTCGTTATATCTTTTGATGTGTGAAGTAAAATTACCGAATGCATCAAGTTGTGGTGTCTAT